CTAATAGCCGCTCCACTATTGACAGCCTCATACTGGAAAAAAAAAACAGACAACCACAGAGGAATGGTTCAAAAAAATATGGGAGGTTGTGGTTATGGAAAAATGAACACCAATTAACCCAACAAACAGAGGGCAGACTGATAATTAGATATTTGGTTACCTTTTATTCAATAATCAGACAAAATACACCCATCTTTTTTTTAAATATTAACATTTGATAGACATGCCTTGTCTTAAATAGGTGTATATAGAGATTTCATTCAATTTAATAAAATCACTAGAAACAATACAGGTGTTGTGAAAATGCTTACTCTAATATGGTAACATTCTGTTTAATAGAAAGATTTGATGATTAAATTCCTGTCTCTTTATACAAAAGAGAACTGGTGTAATGATAGCTTGCTTGGTTTCTGATATTTACCAGGCAAGGATTCCTAAGCTTGTTTAAACCTTCCTAAATAAAGAGCTTAAAAAATAAAAATGAAGCTTGTTTTATGTTATTCAAAATAATCTTTACTTTAAAATTAATTTTAATGCTATACTTCATAAATAATGCACATTTTGTACATATGGGCTCAAGTTTTGAGTTTATCTTAACAGACTTTTCCTTCTGAAATGTATGGCTTTATTATTTTGTATTACTATTTACTGCAATTTGTCCCTTCACACAGTTTGGCAAACATTGCTTATTGTTATAAAGGTGACAAGTTCCTAGACTTCTTTGCTACTTGTACTTGTTTCACAAAGAAACCTTTTAACCACAAAAGCAGAACTTTCTGCCTCGAGACAAGAGTTCTAAGCCAATCAGGAACTGAATGTCTTCAGATCCTGGGCTGTGTTCCAATGCAGCAGTCACTGATTTGTTAGACATGCCTAGTAGCTATTAGGCAGGGGTTACTCGCAGTCAATGACCTAAAGTTACATTACCATTACTTTACCATAGGGAGCCATACAGCTGCCTCTGAAGCCTCTCAGTGCTAAAACAAGAACAAAAGAGCCACTCCTAGTCACTTTTGAGGTTTTAAAGTTTAACAAACCCATCTGAAAGTATAAAGCTAAAACTTCTTCTGAAGTCTGCCAATCATCTTGGATCACAACTTCAAACCCATTTGCTTCCCTACTCTAAAATCCCATTTGCCTTCTCTTACAGAGAACTGTTTTATAGCAAGTTCTTTGATACAGCAAACACCACTCCTTAAACCCGATTCCTTCGAATTAAATGGAGCAAGAACCCTGTTAAAGTGATCACTTGACAGCAAAGGCTATTCTAATGAACAAACTGCTTTAACAAAGCCTGGACCATCTGTTAAAATGTCTATTTACAAATGCAAAAAAATATTTTGAAAACCACAAAAGATGGAAATGTCTTTTAAACTGTGTTAGAACATAAACTGGTAATGTTTCAGATAAAATGAAAAGGTATTCTCTTTCTCAAAGGAATTTATTTCCTGCTCAAAGGACACCTTTGAAGCCTCAAAGACTGGAAACGTATACATCATAGGTCTTTGAAATAGGCCTGCTCCTTTCTATAGGTCTGAGAAGACTTGCTAGTGAAATTTGAGTTGCCACAGCATATTTCAATAGATCTATGCCTGCATTGGTCCATTTTACCTTTTATTTCACTGCATACAAGTTTAGACTGGTTAACTTTGCAGCCATAATTCACCACAACGAAGGATTTAGATTTAAAAAACCAGCAGCCAACCAATAAACTGAAACCCACACTAGAGCACCAATAATAAAAGCAACTTTTCCCCCCACTCTTAAAAAGGAAGAAATAGTAGGCATAAGATACTTCATGCAACACCTCCACTTACTTAACTGATGGAAGCTGTTTCATGGCCGTAAAGGTTAGACAAATTAACAATCGGCTATGCCCTGGAAAGCCCAGCAATGCAAAGAGAAATAAAGACTGCAAAAAATATTTAAGAGTCACACTATTTTCTACGTAGGCAAGAAAGAGGCTAGTATTCAGCAGTCAAAATAGCTTTCTGCATCTATTTTATAGACGCTGTTTTGAATACTTAACTGACATGAAAATTAGAGACACTAAACTAAGCACTCAGACCATGACTGCACGACAGCTATAGAGCCACAGTGCAGGCGCTTCCCTACATTGATGAAAGGCTTTTCTTGATGTACTTAATCCACCTGTCTAAGAAGTGATAGCTAGGTCAATGGAACCTTCCTACATCCACACCAGGGGTTAGGTCGACCTAACTATGGTGCTCAGAGCACCAAATTTTTCACCGCCCTGAGCAATGAAGCAAGGTCAATCTAACTTCTAAGCACTGACCAGGCCTCTAAGTTGAATCTTAAGTGTTAACATACAGAGATCTTTCTAATGAAACAGTAAAATTGTCTATTTATTTTCTGTCTTTAAAACCATTCAAAAAAAGTGGTTTTCAAACTCTTTTTTGCAACTGTCACTCCGGCTCTTCAATATTGTGCTGTCTAGTAATTTACAGCTAACATGCTTTTGCAATTTAAAAACAATTATGATATTTAGTTAATTTAAGGAAAATCCAGTGCTGTGATCTGCATATGTCATGGTGCTGAGGTGTGAAGAACACGGGCTAACTTCAGAGGCAGTATGTAATGTGGTACAAGCTAGACCTCTTGGCCTTATCTACACTGCAGAAATGGTCACGTTAAATGGCCAAAACGGTGGTTGACACCAATAACATTTTTGCATACAAATCATCATCAACCATGGACAGGTATTTACACAACTGCTTTGAATAAGGCTGACTATCAAGTCATTCATCACTCTGTTATCTGCCTGGTTGCAATGATCAATGAAGAAACAAGGTGTTGCAGTTGTAATGGTACAAGTGATCCTCCAAACATGCCAGTGCACCTGCTCACTATTCAGTGATAGCTCAGACAAGCTTCTGGCCTGCTCTCCCTCCTCAATGTCCTCCCCTTATTCCATGCAGGCCTGAGAACAGCCATGGCATCTGCAGTTTGTGTGTGTAAATGTGTACCAGGCTGTAGCTCCTGGCCTTCACAGCCCACATGTTGTACTTTCTGCAGGACAGAAATATTGGAATTAACTGAATTAAACCAGAAATATGACTACAAGAAAAACAGACATTATGCAGTTCAAGGGTGCTGTTGTGCCGTGTATATCCAAAAGAGCATTGCTTAGTATGGCCTATACTGTTGCAGCTTGTACTATTGTAACCCCACCAGTTCAGTTAGTAGTTTACTTATCTAGCGCAGATGCAGCCTAAAAGACCTATTTACCTCAATATGTGAGTGCAAAAGAGTTTATATTTGTGTAAATTATACAACAAAGATAGGTGGTCTCAAGCCTGGTCTAAACCTAAAATTTAGGCTGACCTAGCTACCCCAAGAGATGTAGTTAAGCCAACCTAAGTGCTGATATAGACGCTATGACTTCAATGAAAGAAGTCTTCTGTTAACCTAGCTACTGCCTGTCAAGGGGGTGAATTAACGATAAATCAACAGAAAAATCCCTTCCATCACTATAGCAAGCATCTACACTACTGTATAACAGGCGCACAGCTGCAGTGCCATAGCTGGGCCACTGTAACGTTTGGAGTGTAGACACGCCCTCAGTTACAACTAAGTTTGTGCATTTTTATTATAAAGGAGTATATTTTTCCCCGTCTTTTCAACCGGAGAAATATCAAGAACGTCAAGTGAGTTCTTCCCTTGTTATAGAGGACTTCTTGGAGATTCTCAGGCTTTAGGCTGTGAGCTCTCACCTAACTGAATGTCCAGGAGTATTTTATCTTTATAGAAGAGTCTCTTGCTCTCAAATGTTCTTTGGCGTTCAATATGTAAACTAAAGTACCACTCTCAAACGCTTTCCCCTCTCAACTGCTCTACTTTCAGTAAGTTGTCAAGCAGTTTCACTAAATCTCTGGATGACCAAGAATTTCCAAGATAGAAAGGTTCTGAATTTCTATTATAAAACAAATTAAAAAAAAAAATTCAGGTCTTCATACATCATAAAGAGGGGGAAAGGACATGCCTAATATGTAGTTCTCCTGTGTAATAAGCATTCAGATCAGATCCTCAACCACACTGTACAAATGAATTAGCTGAACATTTTTGGTAAAACAAAGTGAAATACCCGACAATCCTGGGATACTCGTGGTCATAAACTTGAATATCACATTAAGACAGTAGATCATAATTTTGTGCTGCTTGTTTTCAGATAGAGTTCATCAGTTTATGGCCCCCATCTAACACTAGAACTTGATGGCTGACAGAAATTAAATATACAAATGCATTATGTTTCTAGTTCAAAAGGAAGAAAGTTATTGATCCGTCAAGTAAAGATGTGACATTTTCTAGTGTAAATTAAAATCAATAAGACTTCATTGCTATTTTTGCAGGAGTTTGGAACTCAAAAGGTTGGCAACTATGCATTTTTCTGAAATTTAATTTATCATCAATTTAGTTATTGTGCTTTGTTAGTAGGTCTTCTACAGGAGAAGCAAAACAGCTGTTCCTTTTGTAGCTTGAGAGAGGACCTATAGCTGTTTGAAAATTATTGTAATATGACACTAGACTAAGAGGAGTTTAGCAAGTTTAGGCATTGTGGTAGAAACAACTTCCTGCACAAGCAGTTTAGAATGACCTGCAGTAACATGCTGGAAGAGAGGTTACTATCGGGCATGCAAACGTAATATAAATATCACATGCTACCTCCTGTATTTTTCTTTCACTTGTAGCATTAAATATGTATGGAATTAACGATGCTGTTCTTAGCTCTCATATTTAGCTACATATTATGAATAAGTTACAGTAGCACCCTTCCTCTTCAATCTCCAAAAAGACAGAACAATACATTTAAAGTCAGGTTAGGTTTTCACAGCAAGCTATATATACAGCTCAAAAGCAAGTAAGCTGAATATAAGAGGTACTAAATGATTGATACAGACAACATATAGCTACTTTACAGTATTAAATTACAGAATATGAAAACGTGAAATGAAGTTGACTCAAGATTGGATTAATTTTACCTTGTCTGTTCTTGCAAAATAAGATGTGGTTCTACAAAAAACTTGACACGCAGTTTCAATCGGTAAGGAGCTAGTCCATCCATCTGCTGGGAGATCCTATTTCTCAAATTCAGCCATAAACTCTCTCCTTTGCTGCCAGTGAACTGCAGTCCAAAGTAATCAACTTCTATAATCCCCAACCTTCTGCATACCTATAACAAAAATGGAAGTATTGTACAAGTGGCTCTACAACATAGCTAATACCAAAACCATCACACAAACACAGAAGTGTAGCTTTTTTAAAACTGCTCACACACATTACAAAACCTCAACACTCAAATAATAAAGTTATCTTACTGAATCACTTTTCAGTAAGAAGTCATCAAAACTAAGCAAAGCATTAAAGAAGCTGTTCAGATGGCAACCTACAGATATGTATATGAAATGGCAATAAAAACAGGAAAAAGAAGAACAGGAGGACTTGTGGCAGGGATCATCTCTGTGGGTCCAAACACACATCACAGGAGTTACCACTATTTTTTCCCCAAAACTTAGGCACCTAAGCAATTGTGACTTGATTCTCCATGATGCTGAGTTTGGAAAATAGATGACTAAGGGGAGATATGACAGATCTATAAAATCAGGAATGGTGAAGAGAAAGTAAATAAGTAAGTGTTATTTACCCCCAAAGAACCAGGTTACCCAATGAAATTAGTAGGCAGCAGGTTTAAAAACAAACAAAATAAAGTATTTCTTCACACAAGACACAGTCAACCTGTGAAAGTCATTGCCAGGGGATATCATGAAGGCCAGCAGGGTTCAACAACGAATTAGTTAAGTTCACCAAGGATAGCTCTATCAATGGCTATTAGCCAAGATGGTCAGGGAAGCGATCCCATGCTCAGAGCCTAGGTGTCCCTAGCCTCTGATTGCCAGCTGCTAGAACTGGATAACAGGGAACCCACAGTGAACAGATCACTCAATAACTGCCCTGTTCATGCTCTGTAGTGTCTGGCACTGGTCACTGCCTGCACAATAGGATACTGGGCTAGATGGATCATTGGTCTGACCCAGCACAGCCCTTCTTATGAGCATCAGCAACTCCCAAGGAAGCCAAGGGCACTTCTGAAAACCAGGCCACTTGTTTAGGTGCCTAACACAGGCAGAGTGACCCAGGTCTGGCTATTTTGGGCAACGTGGAGTCAACTGAGCAGGCAGCAGGGTTCAGCTGGGGCAGGGAGGGCGGGCAGATCAGAGACACCAGGGTAGCCCCCTCCCGGCCACGTGTCTAATGCTTAGGGGAATGTTTGCGGTGCCACGCGGGGGGGACTCGAGCACAAGCCGGGGTCTGGCCTAGGGTGGGCTCCATGCGCGGGGGGAGGTCCCGCCCCCTCACCCCTGCGCCTGGGAAGGACGAATTCGCCGCAAGGGGAGGGGAGACGCGGAGGCCTCTCCCCACCCCGCGGGGTCCCTTCCCGGGGGAGACCGAACATCCGAGGGCGCCGCAGCCTCTGCGGCCAACATGGAGGAGGAACGGGGAGACGCGCCGCAGGAAAGCAGCAGAAGCACCAGCGGCTCCTCCTGCCCCCCTCCCTCCCGCGCAGCAACCGCCCCGTCGAGAGCGGTGGGCGCGCCGGGGAGCGCTAGCTAAGGGCGCGCGAGCCCCGCGCGGGGCAGCCCCCCGCCGCTTCGCGCAGGGAGGGGCCGGGGTGCGGGATTCGGGGTTAGTCGCGTTCTCCGCAACGGCTGCGGCTTCAAGGGCTGTTGGGGAGCCGCGCGGCTGGGAGCCCCCGGGGCGGCGGCTCACCTGGTTGAGGCAGTCCTCGCCGTTGGCTTTGGCCTCCACCTCCACCTCCATCACCACCGCGTCCGGCCTGGTCACATAGCACAGCATGGCTGGGGCAGACATCCACCGCCAGCGCGGCCCCCGCCTCGGACACCGGAGCCGCTGCCGACCGAGCCACACACCCTGCCCAGTGCGCCGCGGTCCCCCCACGGCCACTCGTCCGTTCTAGCCTCCGGTGCCGCCTCTGCCCTGCACTCCCGTCGCGCTTCTTTAGTGCCTGCTGCGCTCCGACCGGCCGGCGGCGCGGGCGCTCCCCCCCATATATCCGCTCCGCTTCCCCGCCTCCGCCGCCGACCGGCAACACCCGGCCAATCACAACGCGTCTCTCATCGCTGCAGACAGTCGCTCTCGCCAATCAGAGTGAGGTTCTCTTGCGACCGCGGTGGGCACGGCGGCGGTTTGTTATTGCTGCTCCCTTCTGGGCCACGGGGGGGGGTTTGCTGCGCCCTACGGGGCTGTGCCCCACGAGGGAGGGGAAGGAGCCGCCTGGCCCCGCCAATGACAAGCCCTGGAGGTTCTGAGTCTGCACACAGCCAGGCTGTCCTAAACCTCTTTAAGCAGGGAGCAGCCACGCTGAGGCTTGGGCTGCACTTAAACTTTGTATCTGGTTGTATTAGAAGTTTACTCACACCTCTGTTAACCCAGCTGTGCCACCAAGCCTCTCGTGTGGACGCAGCTGGCTCAATGGATGTGAGCGGCTCTCGCTAGAGCGAATGTTGCTCTGGGTGGTAGCCTTCCTACACCGACAGAAACCCCCTTTCTGGCAGCGTAGGCTGCCTCTACCCTACCTGGCTGTGCCGACATAGCTGGGCTGGCATAGGGTCTGTAGCATAGAGGTAGCCTAAAAGCTTGTCTTCCTGTGAAGTTGCTCTGGAATAGCTAGTTGTGAATAATGGCCTGTGTGGACACGTCTATTCTGGAATAAGAGGGATTTTTCCCAAATTAGTCCAATCCGCTTTAGAGTTCAGTCTGAAGTCTCTGCTGGTGGGTCTGGGGATGTGTCTGCACTGGCGGTAGGTGTCTGGCCACAGCCATGCTGTGTAAAGTGACCAGGCTGGATTTGGTGGCAGGCCCGGTGAGAGAACTTTTGGGCTGTAGTACATCATGTTTGCTGTGACCACATCCCCTCTCATTTCACTTTATTTACTCAGATGCTACTACATTTGGGTGATCCTCTGAGCTTGGGGCCCTGGTACAATTGTTTCCCCTTCCCTCCTGTCAGCACTGCGTGGTAGTGATGGAGGAGGTTGAGGCAAAAGCCAACGGCAAGGACTGTCTCAGAATTATTCATTTAAGAGTACAATATACAATTATAGAATTGTATTTTGGTATCTTATTTCTAGGCTAAAATGACTCATCTGATTCTGTGAGTGGAAAATAATTTGAAATACCAATATTAAGATTAACACTATTATCTCTGCTATGTCCACCTTTGTTCCTGATTATCCCATTTGTTGAACAGTGCACAAGGCACAGGAGATGGGGCAAACTGTGTGCAAAAGTGGCCACAGACTAAAGTTCACCAACTTCCATGCACTGTGATGCCGCATCTGGGCACAAAGGATGATGGGCTGTTCTCTTTGCATACAGAACTCAGTAGATATGAACTATTCTAATAGACAGTGTGGGCTGGCCAGAGGAAAAACACCTGCACTAGATAATTACCTAAAAGTATGCATTTGACAAAGGCACAGAACATGTGTGAAGTAAAATAGTCTCTAGCTCGGGGTGGGCAACCTGCGACCAGTCAGGGTAATCCACTGGTGGGCTGCAAGACAGTTTGTTACTTTGACCGTCCACAGGCATGGCTGCAGTTTGCCGTTCCTGGCTAATGGGGGTTAGGAGAAGTAGCACGGGCCACAGGGATGTGCTGGCCGCTGCTTCCAGCAGCTCCCATTGGCCGGGAACAGCGAACCATGGCCACTGGGAGCTGCGAGCAGCTGTGCCTGTGGACAGTCAATGTAAACAAACTATCTCACAGCCTTCCAGCAGATTTCCCTGACGGGCCACGTGCGGCCCGTGGGCCGCAGGTTGCCTACCACTGCTCTAGCTGCTCTAACCTATGTAGGGAGTAATATAAGCCAGTATGAAAGTAAGGAACACATCAGCAGACAGGGGAGGTCCCAGAAAGAGGTAGCAGTCCAGGTGAATAATAGGCAGCACAGAGTGAATAGGAACAGGCAGTCTCTCAAGAATAAAAGTTGAGAGGGAAAAATGGGGTTCTGGAAAAAAATCTTGAGAATAAAAGGAAAAAGAGTAGAGAACTAACTAGTGGAATGTCACCACATGGATGGACATTAATGTTCTTGCTGCAGTTTACTCTGCATGGCTCATCTGCTTCTGTCTATCTGGGTATTTGTTTTGCATCCATCAGCATAGTGTCTGACCACTATTATTAATTTGTATTTCAGTAACTCCTGGATGCCACCCTAGAAAGGTCCCCATTGTGTTAGGCACTGTACAAATGGAGTAATACACAATCCCTGCCATGAAAAGTTTAAATATATAAGACACATGCAGGGTGAGGGAAAGGAATACAAAATGCAAGTGGAGTGAACAGGCTTGCAAACTATATGTTAGTTCCAGGATTAATTTTTTTTAAAATTCTTTAGGAGGAGCTTTGCTTGTATTAGCCATCCTTTCTTCACAGACAGTTTAGGTGGATGCTTGGGCTAAGATTTTTTCCCCCAGGTATTTATACTTCACCATCAGTGTAGTTTCAGTAATTTCTGTATCTAACCAAAGTATTCTTGGAATTGTTATTGAGGTAAAGCTTACCCAGGAACATAAGAGCTACCAGTGTGAAGCAGACCAGCAGTTCATTTAATCAGATATCCTCTCTGACAATGGTCAGAGGAAGGTGCAAGAAACCCCTCCCTGAGAAGTATGAGAACCTGCCATCAAGAGAACTTTATTCCTAAAACTGGGCAGTTAATATTTGTTTATACCTAGGGCCCTACCAAATTTACGGCCATGAAAAACACATCACGGACCACGAAATCTGGTCTTTTGTGTGCTTTTACCCTATAGTATACAGATTTTATGGGGGAGACCAGCGTTTCTCAAATCGGGGGTCCTGACCCAAAAGAGAGTTGCAGGGGGGTTGCAAGGTTATTTTAGGGGGCCCGCAGTATTACCCTTATTTCTGTGCTGCCTTCAGAGCTGGGTGGCAAGAGAGCAGAGGCTGGTGGCCGGGCGCCCAGCTCTGAAGGCAGCATCCTGCCAGCAGCAGCACAGAAGTAAGTGTGACAATACCATACCATGCCACCCTTACTTCTGCGCTGCTGCCTTCAGAGCTGGGCAGCCAGAGAGTGGCAGCTGCTAACTGAGGGCCCAGCTCTGCAGGCAGCAGTGGAGATATAAGGGTGGCAATACCATACCATGCCATCCTTACTTTTGCACTGCTGCTGGTAGCGGCTCTGCCTTCAGAGCTGGGCTCATGGCCAGCAACTGCCGCTCTCCAGCTGCCCAGATCTGAAGGCAGCGCCACCGCCAGCAGCAGTGCAGAAGTAAGAGTAGCAGAACCGCAAACCCCCCTACAATAAACTTGTGACCCCCCCAACTCCTTTTTTGGGTCAGGAGGACCCCTACAACACAGTGAAATTTCAGATTTAAATACCTGAAATCATGAAATTTACAGTTTTTAAAATCCTATGACTATGAAATTGACCAAAATGGACCATGAATTTGGTAGGGCCCTATTTATATGTGAAGCATAAGAGTTTATTATTATTTGTATTATGGTTACACATAGCGATCCTAATCTTGTCTCAGGGGCATATGGTGGTAGGTACCGTACACATACAAAACAAAAAAACAAAATGAAAAGATCCTTGCCCCAAAGAGCTTACAATCTCTGTAAATATTTATATCCCTTACTGGGTTTTTTCCTCCCTTTCTTTTAACCTTATTTTATGTACATAACAGCTCCAATACATTAATGTCTAATCCTTTCTAATCCTTTTCTTAAGCATGCTAAGCTCTTGGCCTCAGTAATATCATATAGCAATAGCATGCATAGGTTAATTAAGCATTGTTAAAAAAAACCAAGCATTTCTTTATGTGTGTGTCATTTCCATACTGCCGGCAAAGAAATAAATTTCATTTCATAATCTTTTCTAGGAGTTTTACACATATACTGAGCAAGATGGAGTGTAGAATTGAGCTACACCTCACAAGAGAGAGCTCTCATGGCAGAGATGCAACTGCCTGTTACAACTCTCGGGGATCTTTCTGAGAGGACTCACTAGACTCTGTTCATTGTGACTGCACTCTCCTGCCAGCTCTCTTAGGTGAATCAGCAGCACTCCATGGTTTATGGTGTCAACCACTGTTGACTAATCTAGCAGGATGAGCATAGACTCCTTGTCTCTGGCAAGAGCAGATCGTTCACCAGCATCAATAGTATTATTGAAGTGCTGTCACAGGCCTGAAGTATGATGATGGGTCTGGGATGGTGGCAGAAGTCAGGCTTTGCTATCATTTCAATCTACCCTCAGGTGTAATTAAGATCCTTTACATGGTGTGATGATTTGAATTTCCTTGCCTAACCCCATAACAACCAAACTTCTCGCACTCTAGTCACCATGTAAGAACTAAGATGTGCCATTGGCACATCCCCAATCTCATACCTCCTGCTTCATCGGCCAGGTACTAGTGAAATTGCTTCATTATCTGTCACTGAGCATGTACCATGGTGAAACCCAAACCTGTTCTTCTCCAACATCCCTTCTGGAACTGCTTGCTACCTGTAGCAGTCAAATTCAAAATACCTTTATTGCTATGACAAACTATACAAGTGTTGCCAAAGCTCCTGGAGTCTCTGTCAGCTAAAACATCTGCCCAGCTTGGGATTTTAGAGTGTATAAGAGTAAATTCCTGGTGCTCGCAAGTATTTGTCTGTATTGTCCATTCCTGATTTGGTGGCAGTCACACAAGAGACATGAGCAGAACAATTCCTGAGCTGTTGTGCTATCCTAGCTATTGGTGGGGGATGGTGCTCTACAAAGGCTGCCAAGCAGGCTACGGTAATCACAGACACCTTGTCAATTTCTGCATCTCTGTAATAAACAGAAGCATTCCCTTTGATGGGCAGGTTGAGTACCAACTGGCTCCTACCTACATTGGTTATACATGATGCAATTTACAATCCATTTGGGGAGGATAATCACATGCATGTGACATACAATGTTTTTTGCATAGTTGTGTGGTTTTTTTTTTAATTATCCACTGATCAGAACAATGAAGGTCTCTGTATTGTGCTT